TTTACAACAGAGCGAAATCATTACTAGAGGAAAAAATCTAATAAGTCGAACCCATTGCATTTTGATTCTGATAATCAATCAATCTGGACAAACTAAATTTCTTTCTTTAAATTGGGTGATTAAATGTGAGGAAACCCAGCTGGTTGCAGCAGCAGCTCCTCCTGTATTGTATATGAACTGGGAGCTAGTTTCACAGAAAACGAGCCTAATAACCAAAATATCTATATCGCTGCCATTCTACCTTTAGAACTGTAGGAACTACAATTAAAAACCTGGTTTTGAGATATTTGGTTACAGCCAGACGATGTCTTGTAGATGTATGAAAAATGCACAGTTGATAAGAAATAATGGGGCTGGATATAAAAACCTCAATTACATTTATGGGGGATTGCTGGAGATTGACTGGATTAACTCTCCATCTCCAGCCTTTTGTTGGAAAAAAAAAACACTTTCAGATCAAAAATAATGAGGAAACCACCGTTTATACTTTAATTTAAGCTCCCATGCCCTCTTTTGGATAAAAAAAACTAAACTGTTGAAAGGGAAACTAGCTAGTAAGAAGGTTCTAGCAGTGTTTGGTTTTATGGTATTTAGAGGCCTTTAAAACCTTTTGTAGAAAGGCGTGACTTGGAGTAGGAAATGGCTGAGAGGATTAGCTCTGCTGGAGTTCCTTCAGCCAGCTCAGATTTAGCTAATTATTTTCATATTTTCCTTTGACTCCTAAAGCTGGAGCAGTTCTGCAAGGCACAGTGAAAAATCCCACATACATGCTGTAACAGAGAGAAGGGATGGTTTAAGTGAAGGCACCCCCACTCTGGCAAAAAAAACACCAAAACAGGCATTCCAGTAACTATTATCTTCAGCTGCTCTTTAGTCTTTGCTCTTAATTAATAATTAAATGGAAAAAAAAAAATAAAACTTTGGTTACAGGATGTAAGCATAATCTTATTTCATAATGCTAGAGTATGTAGCTGCTCATAAAGACAAGAACTTTAGTTTCCTGGAAACAGCATTTTGATTTCAGGTTTTTTGTATTTTTCCAAATGGACTACTCCGATCATTTAGGGATGTAACAATTAAACCATCAACAGAAAGTTATTTTTCTTTAAAGTTGATTGTTAAAAGTTAAATTTCTCCCGGCTGGTAAATGGCACACTCGCCCGCTCTGCACTGTTTGCCAATCATTTGTCAGATCTACTAATGCTAACCGTTAGGGGACCCGTCATCGTCTGTTTGATGCTAGCCTACTGTTTAGATCCTTTAATATGTATAAAACCATTTTTTTAATATATATTCCGTAAATTTATAGTTTTATTCTCCACCAGTTTAGAAATATCATAGTTTTTAAAAATGTATCGCTTTAATGAAGAACCTCAATATAATTTTTCATTAGATATGGATTTTTTTTAAGTTCTCTCTTAATTCTTATCATTTCTAAATTTGGTTTTGCAAATATTTAGATTAAAACCTCAGATTTTTCTTTGTTTTTTTTATGCATGTTTTGAATTAAGATAAACTTAATTTTTATGTATGTTAGATTTATTTTGATGCAAAATTCATAGAAAGTGCATCAGGTTATTCTATGGTTATACCAGGTTATACTAAAATCTCAAACTCAATATCGATACCCTGCAAACTTTTCGGTTCTCAATACCATTTCCGACACTGTGAGGAAAGGAAATGACAAATAGTTAAAGACAAATGTTTTTGTTTTGCATGAGAAACGTTCTGAAAATAGATCGCGCTTTATCAACTGAATCATAGATGCTTGTTGAATAAATGTAAAAATAATCCAAATACACAATACCAAAGTTATTCATCTGACTTAAATGGCTTTATATATTTTTTTTTGTAAGACTAGCTTTCAAATGTGTCTTTCATACCAGCTTTAGGTCCTCGTATTTGAAAGACTCGTTCCTGTTTGTGTGGATTAAAAGAGTTTATTACATGTGTTCTTTATTGTGATGATGGGTCAGGTGAAGCGCTTCCAGACCATCCGGAAGGTCATTGGATCAGATCCATCAACACCCAACAATGAAATGGAGACCATTTTGTGCAAACTGCAATATGCTGCTGAGCATGTTAATGTAAGGAGGAATCAAATGAAAGTACTGTAAGCTCAAAATCAAACCGACAGTTCATTTTACAATGAAGTGTTTGCTTTAAATTGCATTTTTATCTATTTGAGTATACCTCCTGCTTTTCAGTTATTTCATTTGTTGTCCTGGATTTCCTAATATATTTTTGATTATCAAAAGAAGAATACAAAGGTTGAGGAAAGTACTTTAGCTCTGCAGCTCTGCATGCACTGTAATAGCCTTTCATGTTACGAGTCCTGCAGGTCTATAATTAGCCGGGTTTTTGGGTCGGCTGCAGTGTTGCTACTGAACCGGCCACTTTGCCAGACTCTTCATTATGCAAAACGTGTTTTGTGCGCAATGGTCTAATTGATTCTGAATGAAGCATGCATTATTGATGAGCAACCCAGCCCATCTCTTTCTGCATCTGTTCCCCTCTATGTATGCCAGAAACAACTCTATATTCCCCTTTGTTTAGTTTCTGTTTGTTTGTTTTTTCCCTTCATTATTTCTATGCATCAAGCGATTTGTAGTAGGAAGACATTACAAAAGTTACTTCTTGATGGCAACATAACAGAACTAGCACCTCAGCCAATAAAGCTGTAATCCCTCAAACCAAATCTCCTTTTCCTTAAGACTCTTTACCTGCAGTGACCCCAGGGTTAGCACTTTAACAAGAATGAATATCTGAGGTGTAGTAAAATGACTGAAGCTTATTTAATCTGTGTTTTTAGGTTAAGATGAAAGTGCTATTGAATTGCATCTGAAGTATGCTAAACTTCTCATGCTTATAAGTGTTTATATGTCCTTATAAAAATACCTTTTTTATGTTTTTTTTTTCAGCACCAACTTATTTTATTATTAAAGTCTTAGGAATGCTAAATCTTCCCTACTTTCATGTCTAATGAGCACTCAAATTTGACAGAAGTTTAAAAGTAAAAACAAATGACTATTTTGATGTATTTAGTCCAGGACTTTTTGCCTCTTCAGATCAATAAAGTTGTCACAATTAACAACAACAAGATATCAAAATGGGAGCTTAGTGGTGCTGTTTGTGACGTGTCGAGCTACTTCAAAACTCCCAGTGTTGAACTGGTTGATCCCAGCGAACGTGAAGCACTTTCACAGAGGAAAACCATATACATGTCAAGCACTGATGTCTGCGCCAGTGGCTGACCCTGCTCTCCCGATAGGGTGTCAAATGCTAAGGCGCTCTCCCGGTTAATCCCGTGTCGCCTCTTTCTCTTCGTGGCTCTTAAAATACCGCAACTTCTGTGTCAAGCCTACCTCTTTGTTGCAGCACCAAGATGAAACCACATGACATAACTGGGACTTTTTCATCCGATCTGTTCTGCAGTATACCATTTTTATATTTGATTCATTTACTTTTTTTGTTACCGGTCTGCTTATGGTCAGTCAAACCTTTTTTTTTTTTTCATTTAACCAAAATATTGCTCAGCTGGACTCAGTAGCTGGCAATTTAAAAGATAGAAAAAAACAAACTTAATTTTGATTTTCTACCTGGTTGAAAAAAGCTAAAACTTTTGCTGTACATTTGGCAGTTGAAAAATAGTCAATTCCTTAAAGTAGCAATGGACTCCTGGCCAGCTGATCTAAAGGATCGGCTGTCATTTGGCTTTGGAGAACACATCCCATCAATCCCAGCACCTTGGAAAACACTTTGCTCATTGGCTAACGTATTCCGCATCACCCTGCCAGCGATCCATCCATCCATCCATCCATCCATCCATCCATCTTCCTCCGCTTATCCGGGGTCGGGTCGCGGGGGCAGCAGCTTAAGAAGGGATCCAACCATCTAATTTGATGCTGCTGTTTTGGATGAAGTGAGAACCTGATGTGAACGTTGAACCTGATCCAGTATTACTCAACGACTTTATCTCTTTACAGCAGTGGTTCCCCCACCCTGCTCCTTTATTACTATTGTCCTGCATCTTTCAGATGCTGTTAATTATCCATCCCTTGAGGCAGGTGTGCAGCAGTGAGGAGTGACCCAAAGCGCGCTGGATAGTGGGTCCCTGAGGACCGATATAACAAAAAAAAAACTATGCAACTATTACTACAGAATACATGCATACATATCACTTTAAGCCTTTTTAACTTGCACCCAAAACCAGTTTACACTTCAACAAATCACACAGTTTAAAATCAAATCATTATTAAAATTATTCCATAGTTTCACACTACTAACTGAAACACATCTAGATTTTATTAAACTTTTCTATTTGGCGTATTCAAATGTTTAGACCTTTACATTTATATTAACACTCAACTTCTGAACTCCAGATGGCTGACTATAGGTCAATGCTTTTAACTTTAGTTCCATTATTTTTATATTGGAAATATTAATGCATTTTAAAGAGTTTGCTTAAATTAATTGTTTTTGTGGATCTAACTTGAGCAATGAAACAAATTGTTTTTGTGACCTTGCAATATTATTAATTGATGGCAAGTAGGGTCTTTCTGTCTGAATTGTATTATTGCTTGAACTTAAACTGTTGAAGTAAAGTTGAAGTAAACTTTTCAGATTTTATATACAATTGAGGGAACCTGAGTTAAGCTATAACAAACAGAAAAAAAATGTACAATATATTCTCATCATTTAAAGCTTTAAAAACACTGTTGTCAACAAAAAAATTTGGTTTGCACTTTTCTATAAGTTAATTGTGTATTTATTTAGTTATCCCAGGACACTGTAGAACTGTAAAAGCATTGCGTCTGGTTTCTCCAGAGGTTTCTGCTATCTGAACCTCAATTAAACATCATTACCTGACAAAGTTAAAATGGTGGATTTAAGGTCTGAAATCCATCATTTGAAAGCTCATTTGGTTAAATGTATTGTTGGAAGCCATATTCTACATTTTAGTATTTTAAGGTTGAATCTATTTCTTCTTTATTTCCTAGGGAAATGAAGCCAGTTACCCCCTGGAGATGTGCTCACATTGTAAGTATTTTTACTCTATATTTAATTGTCTTGATTTTTATTTAAACCAATTCTTTTACAGCTTTTATGGATTTAAATGATCAGGTAATTTAAAAAAAATTGTAAAAAAATCTATCAGAAATTTTATTGCTAGCAGATATCACACATGTAGATGGTTAAATATTGTTTCTTTTCTGCTTCCCCTTATTTTTATCGCTTTCTGTAGCACCTAATACATCACAGGTAGTAAGAGCCTGGATGTAGAGTATTTAAGTTATAAGCCAAAATTTCTTGCACTTTTTTATATGTGCAGATTGCATGCAGCTGTAAATTAATTATTAATTTCAAAATATAAGTGCTGTCTAAATAGCACATAATAATTTCCTGTGAAAGGAAAACTAAAATTTTGCACCCAGTTATATCATTTTCTTTGTTTAGATATGGAAGCCAACCTTCCTGTGTTTGCCTACTCCAGTTGTTACATAACTTCACACAGCAGACTCTGTTACACTCTCAACATCAGCAAAGCACATACACTAAAGTAATATTCCTTTTTGTTGATCATCATGACCCTGGATATCACTCACGCAGTCCTGTTTTGATATCACACCCTCATCAATCCATGTACTGTATCGGTTGTTCTTTTTTACCCCCTTATTCTGTTTTTTTTCTTCTTAGTAAAAATGTGGCACAGAAATTCAACATTCTGTGCTTGTCTTTCAGGATACAGAAGCTGTTTTAATTATTCATTGAAACAGGATTTCTCATTAACCAAAAAGAAAAATGGGGTAAAAATATTGAGAGCTATACAAGATGCTAGGATTGTAGAATTAAAGAGTAAAGGAAATTGAAATGATCTTTCTTTTCTTAGCTTGACTGCTACCTTCTCCAACTAACCATACATTAAATTACAGTTGCACCCTACAATTATTTTTGGACAGACAAATTATCATTTGGAAATTCTTATCTGTTTGCAATCAATAGATAAACCAGCAAGACAAAGTGAAATTTTAAACTAAAAATACCACTTTAAAAGACCTGCAGTCTTGAAATAAATCAACACCTTCATCTTCAGTACCAAGTTATCCGTTAGCTTAGCTCCTGTGGTACAGGCCTTCTGTTCACTGACCATAGTGAACTTGTTTGGTGTCGCCATCAAATCGCACGAGAGATATCGGATCAAGTCAGCTGACTGATGATAACTCTGGTATCCTAAATATAAACCTGATGAATGGAGAAGTTCCTGGGATCATTGTGCAGTTTAAATGTCTGGTGATGCCTTGGATTCAGATTCTAAAGAAGACATTTTGTGTGTTGCTAAATTTCCTGATGCCTAGAGCAGCAGGATGAACAGAATCACAGCACAGCAATTTAATGCTGCCAGGATGCAATATTTGAAAGGTTACAAAAAGCTCAGGATCACTTAACCATCCCCATACTTCTCTGTAGGTAGCGTTTGTTTTGTTTTTTTCAGTGTATGCTTCATCGCTCTTCTGCACTACAACTATGCTATAGGCCAGAAAGGTTCCAGTATTCGTCACTGTTATAAACAGCATCCCGCAAACTTCTGTGGTTTATTCGGTTGAGGTGGAGCTGACCTTCCTTGGACCAGTAGTACTGATGAACATATTCGCTTTCTAGGATAAGCTTCTGGTGAAAACTGGCATCAACTCTTCTTTCAGGTCTTATCAGTCAGTTGAATATTTTCAGACACCTACTTCCTCTTCCTCTTTCTGCCACATCCATGTAACTGTTTCAGGGATTTATGGGGACCTTTTAACATGGTCTCTGCTCTTCTCTTGACCATGTTTCTGACCTGCATTGAAACCAGTCATACTGCACAATATACTTTCTACAGCTGGATGTGGAGAACCAGCCTAAAAAAGCACCACTGCTGCATGTGTTTAATGAGCGCTGAGACAGTGACTGGTCCCTCTGTAGTGTAGGTGGTCTTTGGGGACTATAACAGTGTGTATAAATGAATGATGAGGTCGATATATAATCAGTTTTAAATCAGGGCTTTGAAGATGGATGCACAGATAGTTGGTGACACGGTTCTAAAAGGTATGTAGGAGGCAGGGGGTGGGGGTAAATGTCCTTTGTTCTCTTAAAAAGTGATTTGATGCTATTATGGTCACACCAAAGAAGCTGAGGTTTTAATATTGTATGAAGCAATTCTAAATGCATCATCTCAAAATGGAAAGAAACATGGCAATTCAATTATACTGATTGGATGGACTATAAGAACGTTAATCAAAGCAGTAGCAAAAAGGCTTATTAGCTCTGCAGGAGTTTTGCAGATTAACAGCTCAGCAGGGAGAATACATTGATGGAGGAATGGCAAGAAGAAAGGCCTAAAAAAAACACCAAAGCCGCTCATTTATGTCGTCCTAGACCTTCTTTGTTAACTGGTGCATGGTCATATCGGAAGGAGGGGACATCTTCAAACTTCCTGAAAGGCTGGGAGCAAAGGACTAGAATCTCCTGTTATGAAGTATGTAGAGTTCCTGTCACTGGAACCAAGCCCAGCGTCTTAAAAACCCAACCCCACAATATAATCCCCCTCCACCAAACCTTACACTCTGGATGTAAATTAGCAAGTTTTCCGCAATCTAGCAGATGTAGAAGTTGTTTGTTGTTTATTAATATGCTCTGTCCTCATTAAATAAATGAAGTAATTTTAAAAGTACAGTCAGATAAGTACTATTTTCTGGCAACAGCCATACTCTGACTGGGCCTTAAGATTGACAGCTGGAGAGGCTCAATTCATCACTTCAGAGAAGGCGCCTCCACTGCTCTCCAGTCCAGTGGAGGTGTGCTTTACAGCACAGCATCGAAATTTGGATCGCACTCAGTGATGTATGGCTTGGTTGCAGCTGCTCGGCCATGGAAACCTTAATCCACGAAGCTCCCACTGCACTGTTCTTCCGCTGATCTGAACACTGCATAAATTCTGGAGGTTTGCACTGACTGCAGAATCTATGCGGCTTCTGTACTGCCTAGAAAAGGTCCACATACCTAGCTGCTTGATTTTTATAGAGCTTTTGGTAGTGGAAGTGATACCTGATTTCATTTTGGAGGTATGGGTATCTGCCTAAAACAGCTTTTTTACCTACACAGAACTCTGTATTGAGCTCAAATCCTGACCACACCATCCGCATTATGAAACCCTATGGTAGTGGAAGCATTATGGTGTGGGGATGCTTTAGTTTACTATGGACAGGGAAGGTTGATAGGATGGATGTAGCTAAAGATGTGTCTGTACTTGAAGAAAACTTGTTGGCAACTGGAAAAGACTTTGATTTTGAATTTTTGAAACTAGAGCGACAATGGAGTAGTTTAAATCAAGGCATGTGTAAAAATGCTTCAATGAAACTCTAATAATTGATTAGATACAAAAATCTCAATCAAAACATGGCTCTACAAAGATTGGTGAACTAAAATCCTTATCTATGCAAAGCCTTTATTTCCTTTACATATTTGAACACCCTGCATCATTTTCCTTCAACATTACATTTATTTTCCACTCTCGCATCAAATGCGACAGAAAGCGTAGAAGTTTCTGGTGGCAACATGGCGGAACCCGCCAATGTTCAAAATCGGGCATACTTTTTGACGGTGTGTGTGCAATAACATTTTGAAAGTGATATGCCTCTGTAAAGTGAGCAGGTCTGTGAACAGAGCGACACTCTAGCCTGTCCATACTTAGTGGGGGACAGGACCTTGGCCGGCCTGGCCTTCCAGGCATCCCCCCGGATTAGGCCGCCGCATTGGGGGGAGCTGGATTCAAGCGACTCGTGACGGTGCTCTGAAATGCTTAAAGTTTTATTCCTTATGTTGGTTCTTCTCTCCCCCATTTTAAAATAGTTTTTGGTCTTTGTTCATCCCAAGCCCAGCTTTCTCCCATGCCTTCAGTGCAATTGCTCCTAGTGTTGGTATTTCCCGGATTGATCAGGAAAATGTTGAATGTCAAGCATGGATGCTTAAGGGTAGCCTTTGAGTGGTAGACAAAATCTAAGACATGCATATAAAAGGAATCCATCAAATTGTTTGTAAAACTACTAGATAACATTCTTTCTGGCATTCAGAAAATAATTACTTGTGTTTCAATCCTGTTTCTTGGATATTCCATCCTTCTCGTCTTTTTCATTTTATCAGTCTTCCACTGGCTCTGTAATCCGACTGACTGAACAGCTGTTCAGCTTCTCAAATGCTCGGACAGGCAGGCACTGACTGTGAAGACATTAGCTCTGGCCTGCTGCTTGAAGAAATTCACCCTTCTGCAACTTGCTGCTCTCAAAGTGACCTGCATCAGTAAATGTTTGCTCCATGCCAACTAAACTTGGCACGAGACGCTCAGTGGCTCTGTATATCGAGATCCACCAGATAAACATGAATATTGTCTTTGTTAATCACCTTGATTTGACTGATAGTGGAAAAGGTAAAATCTTTGAAGCCCTTCTTTTGGCAGTGCACTGCTAACAGAATTTAATGGCCCACTAGTGATAGCATGCATATTTAGGCATAAAAGACGCACCTCCACACATTTTCAGCACACATTTGCTTAAAAGCATGCCCACTCACTGGCCCCTGAATGCACGGTGCTCTGAAAGAAATGCAGCAGCAAGCTTGCACCGCAGCTCGGGCTGCGGCCACCCAAAATAAAAATAAACAGCAGGCAGTTTGTTGGAGTTCCTTGTTGCTAGGGGTTTCCCTGAGGGCGGGGGGGGTGAGGGGGGGAGGCGTGAGCCTCTGATGGAGGGGTGAGTTGGGGGTTTTCTAATGACGGAAAGGCTATAAATACACACCATCGATGTTGTGTCCAGCTGTGTCTTTAGTTTGGTCTATCCAAGCAAAGTGTATGTTATCAGAGCGGTCGGCACAATCAGCCTAATGCACAAAGTGCTGGAGCTGTAGTATACAATCCAGGTTATACAGCCTGGTGTCACCACTGCCCTGCATGAGATAAGACTTAGTTAGTGTGACAGGGTGTGTGCTTATGTGTTAGAGGCTTTATTTAG